ACATTGGATCAGAAGGTCTGTCATTGAGTCAGATAATTCAATTGTCAAGGGTTCTTTGAAGTAAACGCAGTGGGGGTAGTTTCAATTCCGGGCTTATACTTAATTATCCCTTGCCATGTCCTACACTACTGACGTGTGGGAACTATGTCGGAAAATCCAATTGAAATTTCTCGGCCAATGCCTTATACTCACTGAACCACAGTGACTCCTCCTTGCTTTTGACTTGTGATTATTTATATATATTTTGTACATATTATTTAATGTTTGCGATTTTCTCTGATATTTTTTTATTTTTCAATCCTGTAATCTTGATGCTTTGCTCCTTTTATGTACAAAATATTCATTTTGTTTGTTTTTTTTAATGAGGAAAAGGTTCTACATCATTTTATTACTCCTGCAAAATAGTGCATTTTTCTTTTGTTAGTTTTCTGTGTATGCTAGTTATTTCTAGATGCCTCACAAATCACTTGTAATATGACTTTGTAGCACTTTTCAGTTTCTGAAAGTATTTCAATTTAGTGCATAATTAATCTAATTAGGGCTTGGTTTGGATGTTATTAAATTTAGATATATTTGAATTATATATTTTTGGGGTATGGGGTAGGGATCTTTCTTTTCTCAGTTCTTGTTTTCGGGTAAAGAAAAAATTAAATAGCTACTTTGTATTTTGTGATGTGGGGGGGGGGGGGAGCAAAGTATAACAAAATTTTTATTAGTATTAGAATTATATCTCTGTTTTTCTGTTAACATTTCAAATGATGTCTATTTAGTTTTGATTTGGTGGTGTTAATTTACTTTTTCCTATCATTTTATGAATAAATGATAATTTAACAAATAAAATTATTGTTGCCTCATTTATCAAACTTTACAGGTTAAACAGAGCAAAAGGGGTGGGGGCTGCATGGGAAAGATTGCTAAATTAAGGGAAAATAAAACACAAGTTTTGGTGGTGGTTATACACAAGTTTTTATGAAACCACACAAGTTTCAGAAATTTCAACACAAGTTTCAACACAAGTACTGTGTAGTTTTTCACACAAGTTTCAACACAAGTTTGTGTTGTTTGGTAAATTTTAACACAAGTCTTGTGTTGTTTCAACACAAGTTTTTTTTTCAGTGTACAAATGAGTTAACACGGTTCAGTGTTCACAGATACTGGATAAAAAGGAAACCGATAAAGGATAAATACTGCAGAAATTTCTAAAGCCGCTATATCTGTGTTAAACACGAATATGCCCTGAGCTTGCCAATAGGGCTATCCGTGGTAATTAAAAATCGAGAATATGAACTGTACTTCGATCAGATTAAAGTATTTTGACAGAAATTTTCAATATCTTCCTTTTCCATTATCTTTTTTTTAACTGTTATAGCACGAACGACCAGCTGGATGTCTAAATCACTCATATTGTAAATTAAAAAAAACCACAAAATCGGCCATATCTATACACATGTCGACGTGAATGTATATTGTCGTCGCCCCTGTCCATCCGTCCGTCTAAAATTTGTTTGTTGACGCTCTACAGGTCACAATTCTTATCCGATTTTGACGAAACTTGATATATAGGTTTATCTCCAACAGATCTCGGCTCCTTTTAATAGTGGCATGTATCGGATCGAAACTTCATCGATTATGGCCCTTGATTTTATGAAAAAACACGCTAGAGGTCACAATTTTCTTCTCATTTTGATGAAACTTAATATGCACGTTTATAACCCAAAGATCTTGGTTCCTGTCGATATTTGCGCATATCGGATCGTAACTTCCTGAATTATGGGCCCTGATTGTACGAAAAATTGTGTTTTTAGCTTGTGGTCCCTCTAGAGGTCAAAATTATTATCCGATTTAGAATCACCGTTACGCCGTAATGATGGTTGAGTTCGAATTTTGAGAAAATCAGACCAAAACTGCCGGACAAAATGACTGCCCCTCGTACGCAAATAGTGTAAATATATGGTATATCAAGGTTGTGGACCCTCTAGAAGGCACAATTTTTATCCATTTTGATGAAACCTGAAATACATGTTAACAACCCAAAGATCTTGGTTCCTTTCGATATTCATGCATATAGGATCGTAACTTCCTAAATCATGACCCTTGATTGTCCGAAAAAAAATCTCATTTTTAGCTTGTGGTCCCTCTAGACGTCAAAAGTTTTATCCAACTTTTTTTTTTTTTAAACGTTTGAATATATCCCCGTTACACGCTAATGAAGGTTGAGTTCGAATTTCTTGAAAATCGGACCAAAATTGCCAGACAAAATGGCTGCCCCTCGTACGCAAATAATGTAAATATATGGTATATCAAGGTTGTGGGCCCTCTAGAAGCCACATTTTTTATCCGATTTGGATAAAAACTTTTCAAATCTTGAAAATCGGACCAAAATTGCCAGACAAAATGGCTGCCCCTCGTACGCAAATAATGTAAATATATGGTATATCAAGGTTTTGGGCCCTCTAGAAGCCAGATTTTTTATCCGATTTGGATAAAAACTTTCAATTTATGTTTATATCACAAAGACTTTGGTTCCGGTCGATAATCGCGCATATAGCCTCTGATCGTTCGAAAATTTGTAGGGAGTACTTACTATTTTAAAAATAGACTGCCGGAAATGTTGTCTGACAATATTCAGTCAGGCACCGAATGTCGAGATAAATAGAGCTGATCAGATACCGTCTATCGCCTGATCACTAGTTAAGCCCCCGAAAATTTTAAAAATAGACTGCAGGAAATGCGGTCTGGCAGGATTTCAGGCACTGATAGTCGAGATAAATAGAGATTACCAGATACCGCCAAATCACTTTAGTTTATCCGACCAGAGAGGAACGTATCAAACGAACGGAATCAATATTTTCGCCACGATATTTTGAGAATTAGGCTGCTGGAATTGTAGCCTGTAGTGTTTCAGACACTGGTTTTCCAGATAAATAGAGCTGACCAGATACTGTTCGTCGCCAAATCACCAGCTTATCCGAACAGAGAGGGAGGTCTCAAACGAACGGAGTGAGTGAATCAAACTGAATGAATATTCTCGCCGTGTTGAACCATAAACAAAATCTTTGAGGATCGTAAAAAGCTCTTCTCAAGTGGTTCACCTGTTACTGTTTATAGTAGGTTTACAGCAGGATGGGCTTGGTAAGAAATCACTCAGACTCTACAACATGTTATTTTATGACTTAGTGGGAATGTGGGATTTAGTCACCGTAGAAGGTAATGATTACCGAAACATATCACTATAGTTTATCCGACCAGAGAGGAACGTATCAAACGAACGGAGTGAGTGAATTAAAGTGAATGAATATTTTCGCGACGATGTTTAGAAGAAGACTGTCGGAAATGCAGCCTTACAGTATTTCAGACACTGGTCGTCGAGATAAATAGAGCTGACCAGATACTGTCTGTAGCCAAATCACTAGCTTATCTGAACAGAGGGGGGCGGGTGTATTTCATATTTTTAAGTTATATTTTTAAAATTTATTAAAATAAAGCCTTAAAATATATGGTATCTATAAACAGTCCCACCTTGTTAAAGAATAATCTTATTAATCCTATAATTCACCATTGCCAGTTGAGAAATTGGCAAAATATCATTTTCAACTTCAAATTCAAACGTTTGAAGATAGCTATTCCATGGGGAAAATAGGAAAACAAGGGAGCTAATTGTGTTATTATTTCCTGTGTCAATGATTTTTAAGTGTGGGAAATAATGCCGATGATCGTATAATAGTGAGTTGATAACCTATTGAGCAAAAGACTTAGAAATAATTATGTTTTGACGTTCTTAGAAAATATGAAATTCTCGCTTTAATATGTGATTTTACAAAGAATAGAGTCATATACACCCACTTTAATAACAATAAAAAAACGTGTCAAGTCTATGTAGCAACAGAGTTTTATTCTTATCATTTGACGAACAAGGACAAACTTAATGTAGCTGTGGAGATACCACTGTATAAACAAAAAATAACACGAGTTGCAAAAAAAAACATAAGACTTGGATCACCACCAAAAGTCTGATCATAAAACGAAGATCACAACACAACTAATTTAATATAATGGTGTAAGGGGGTGATTCATATCTATTTCAGCAGAAATAATACGGAACAGCCAAATTATTTACAGAAAGCAATTGAAACATGAAAAAGCTTGCATTCAAATAAGGACATTAGCTCAAATTACAATGACACGAACTCTGTTTTACATCAATTAAACAATTTATTCACTCACAATACCAGTTTTAAAGTAGATTTGGAATGAAATGTATAATATCCCACCTATCGACTCTTAATAAATCTTTTTAAAACCAGTTGGTACAGCTAGCTCTCACTCTCCTCCTATGACGTTATGCAACAGAAGGCTAATAAACATTTTACTTATACAAATTTAACAAAAATAATGCTGATAGTTTAGAAGGCTATAACTTACGTTAGAATTATATAACCGTAAAGGGGGCTGGATGGTCGAATAGTTAGCACGTGCGCGCTGTATCATAAGGCCCGTCATGGAGACAACTGGCGTGATTTCGAATCCCCGGTTGTACGTGACAAAGAGTAGGGTCGCCTGTCCAACCTCGTGGGTTTTCTCCGGGTCCTCCGGTTTCCTCCCACTGCTAAAGACCCCTACGCACAAACGGATTATTGAAATATAATTAAACCATATGTTAGTCCCGAAATGACCTAGTTTGTGTCGACTGGACGTTAAACCCCATTTCTCTCTCTCTCTCTCTCTCTCTCTCTCTCTGTATAACCGTAAAGACCCAACACAACAGAGTGTTAAATATAAAGGTTGTGCATGTACATTCAAAAGTACTTTTATTGAAACACATTTATTCCAACAAATATTCAAAACAATCAGTTTTAACTTAATTTAAGGCCAATTTAATTTAAATTGGTTTTTATTTAATTTTAATCAATTTCATATTTAATTCAGTTATTTGTTCCTAAAGAAAAGTACATATCTGGAAGTCATTAATATCACTCTGTATATAAAATTGTAACACTTACCTATACTTCTTATAAACAATATTACCACTCTTTAATATACTGTCTAATGTTATACAACACACCAGTAAACATCCATCACAGTTCAGGTCTAATAACTAACGCTATATTACCCAGTCAGATGTTAAGACGGGTTCAACTGCATGTTATTTACTTCATAAAAGCCAAGATTGCGTTGATTGATTTTAGGGAAATAACCCTGTCAGACCCCGATGTTTAAATTTTTTCAGATAAACTATTACATACACTGCAATAAAATTATCAAGATAAAACAAATCTATATCAGAAAATATAACAGTAACAAGCAGGAAACTACGGTGGCTGATAAGGTCAATTTTAATTTTCACCCAAGCCAATTTTAATATAATTTGTTTTTTGTAATTTCCACCCAAGTCAATTTTAATATAATTTGTTTTTTATAATTTTCACCCAAGTCAATTTTAATTTCCACTCAAGTCAATTTTAATATAATTTGTTTTTTTTATAATTTTCACCCAAGTCAATTTTAATATAATTTGTTTTTTATAATTTCCACCCAAGTCAATTTTAATATAATTTGATTTTTATAATTTTCACCCAAGAATTTCCACCCAGCGCGTGACGTCATCTCAATTAGCCTCGTTTCCATTGTAATGTATTATGTTTTATCTTATATGGTTCTCAAACTGTAATTAGCAGATTGCAATGTATTATGGTTTACCTTATATCAAATAGATATTTTTATACGCCCACATTTTCATATGGACGTATATTGTCGTCACCCCTGTCCGTCCGGACGTCCATCCATAATTTGTTTGTGGACACTATACAGGTCACAATTCTTATCCGATTTTGACGAGACTTGAAATATAGGTTTATCCCCAAAAGATCTAGGTTCCTTTCGATATTGGCATGTATCGGATTGAAACTTCATGAATTATGGCACCTGATTGTACGAAAAGTCACCATTTTGTTTAGCGTGTGGACACTATAGAGGTCACAATTATCATCTTAGGCTGTGATTTAGCCCCGAAAATCGTTTCATCTCGTCCCAGCAAATTCCGGGTGAAAATCTGACGCTTTGTTACATAATTTAACCAGTAGGCCGTCACTGTCGCATACTTTTCTGTTCCGATGCATTGTACAATACGTCTTGCACTTGAATTACGTCTCGAACTATATTTGTCAAGTGTAGCCATAATCGGATGAAAAAATCAAATTCTAAGCCAATCAGAAACCATAAAAGCAAAGATCGTCATAGGTCAAGGGTCAATAGCCATAAATAGACCAGTGAATACCTTTTATGAGACGGAACACGTTGGATTGTTTACATTTGTCTGAGATAATTTCTCTGCAAATATGCCGGGATTACTGGATAATATCACCTGTTAAATGTTGCATTGACACGGTAAAGACGACTTACCCCTGATCTGTGGGATAAATATGGCCAATAATTACGAAATAGCACCAATGATTGAGTGAATCTTTTATTTTCTGGAAACAAGTATTTCTTCAAAACTATTTCAGTGAAACAATATCCAAAAGAAATATATACTTAATACAGATGAAAACGATTTTGGCATGCTTGAAATACTGGTTCCGTCTTATAATTATATATAATGCTAAGAAAAAACAAAAATAATAATACCATGTGATCTGATCGATACAATTAATAATAATTCACCTTCATCAATTTTACTATTTTTTTAAAACGAGAAAACAATAGACTTATTATAAGAGTATAGAGCGAGAGAAATGGGGTTTAACTTCCACTCGACACAAACTAGGCAATTTTGGTTCAATTTTATTCCAATAATTCGCTTGCGTGTAGTGGTCTTTAGCAGTGGGGGAAAACCGGAGGACCCAGAGAAAACCCTTCTCCTTGTCAAGTACAACCGTGGAATCTAAACCACGCCAGTGGACTCAATGACAGGCCTTATGATATGCTACCCATTCGGCTACCTAACCCCCTATAAGAGAGTATAAGATTACATTTATTTAAAGAAAGAAATTAAAAAAAATAAACAAATGCAATTATATAAATGTCCTCGTACACAACAATACCATACACCACTAGTATTAATGAAAAATGTATATAATAATAATAAGAACATCATCATTTTTTAAAGTTTATTAATACTAGAGAACGGTTTCTAATGTGCTGTTCAGGTTCTTATATTCACAGAATACATGTATTTACACAGAGATCAGGTCTTGTGCCCATATACACTGTACAAAATTGAAAGATATATACCAACCAGTAAATAAAAGTACATATAAGAGAAAAACAAACAGTAATTACCTAAGTAAAATGGTTCTAGTAAAATGAATTAGAAATGAAATGGTCTAATGAAGATGGGCATATACGCCATACAGTGTGCTATAAAGCAAATTTTGCCTGGGCACAGCACTATGGCCTACGTTTATATCAAATTACAACTGACAAGGGATCTTTTTACGTGCACACCAATGTATACACAGGACCTCGACTAGACTGCTGTCCTTGTGCCTTGTCAGCCCTCCGCCTGCACCACTGACAAGGGGAAACCGTCGGAAATGAATTAGAATAAAAAAGTAAAATAAAAACAGATAGTAAGCATAAAGTGACAAAATATAATATGAAAATTTATTGACATCTACAGTACATTCAAGTAAAACATATTTAAAATATGTAATATTAAAAAACCGCTTACAAAAATACATGTATACAGGTGTAGGCCTACTCACATAATTTCATCAATATCATCATCACTATTAAAATCAATGTCACTGTCAGCATATGTTTGGCTGTCACTTTTATATTCGAACAATATACACAGAACCATACAAGAAAGTTTTCACTTGTGACAAGTACATCTATTACTGATCTATCTGTAAAAGTGTAATGCAGCTTGATTTACATTCACATTGAAAATTTTGTTTGGTGCTTGATCTCTAGTCACCCTAACCCTGTCATTTCTTCAATAGAGTTTAACAAGAGGGGTTTAAATTTCCACAGCTACAGTCAGGCAACCTGGGAGGAATGCGCCAGAATATGCCCCCTTTTTGACTGGTGATGCAAAGGCAGAAATAATTCTTCATACATATTTTTTCAAAAAAAGTAAGTGCACTTGTACCAACTCATCTATTTCGGTTCTAATTTTCTCCATAACATTGGGGTTGGATGGCCGAATTGTTAGCACGTGCGCACTGTATCATAAAGGTTGTCATTGAGTCAACAGGCGTGGTTTCGAATCCCCGGTTGTACGTGACAAGGAGTAGGGTCGCCTGTCCAACCTCGTGGGTTTTCTCTGGGTCCTCCCCTTTCCTCCCACTGTTAAAGACCCCTACGCGCAAGCGAATTATTGAAATAAAAAAATTAAACCATATGTTAGTCCCAAAATGACCTAGTTTGTGTCGAGTGGACGTTAAACCCCATTTCTCTCTCTCCATTACAAATTGTTGGGTATGAGTACTGCACATTGTATTTCACCTCAATAATGATGACACAGTTTTAACCATAGTGATCTTCTGTCTTTGACTGAGTGGACTTCTCTGTTGGTCTGAGTGGTCTTGGCGGAGTAGTCCTTGGTCTGGGTTGTCATGCATTTGGGAGAATATCTTCATCAGCTTTTTATTTTTTTATTTTATTTTTTTTTTTTTTTTTTTTTGCTGCTGCTGCTTGTTTCTAAACATCACTTTCTTCAACAATTTAGGAATCGTGATAATGTTTCATACACAGTTTGGTAACGTGGAATGTGATAAGTAGGCCTAGTAGCCTCTACCATACCCCAGTCCAGTGAGAGTTTCCCAGCTTGTCGCAGTGAACGGTTTTAGCTCAGTGTTTTAACAAAATGTACTCGAGCTATTCAGTTTTAATTTAGCTAACCTTCCGCCATGTACCGTTAATATCAAAACGTAAACAAAGAGCAGGTGACCTTTCACCACATGACCTGTTGAACTTTTCGTCGTGTATGTTTGATTGGCCAATTATGTCACGTGGTCTGTTTAAACCGAGTCACCGCGAAATTCAAATACCATTGCACATTGACAAGTAAGCCCATATTTAATTTACGTTTTCTATCAAACGTCAAAGAATTGATAAAAGAAAAGTTGTGTGACACTATAAAGTAATACTAGAAGAATTAGATGATGTAGTTTTTTTTCCACCCGAAAATTGTCGGAACGGAGAAACAGAAGCAAGCTACCTAGAAATTTCAGACCACGGCCTATCTGGTTTCTTTCGAGTTTAACGTCCACTCGACACAAACTAGGTCATTAGTGTTTTGGAAACGAGGCTAATTGAGATGACGTCACGCGCTGGGTGGAAATTCTTGGGTGAAAATTATAAAAATCAAATTATATTAAAATTGACTTGGGTGAAAATTAAAAAATTATATTAAAATTGACTTGGGTGAAAATTACAAAAAACAGATTATATTAAAATTGACTTTGGTGGAAATTAAAATTGACTTGGGTGAAATTTATAAAAAAACAAATTATATTAAAATTGACTTGGGTGAAAATTATAAAAAACAAATTATATTAAAATTGACTTGGGTGAAAATTACAAAAAACAAATTATATTAAAATTGACTTGGGTGAAAATTAAAATTGACTTAGGTGAAAATTTAAAAAAAACAAATTATATTATTTTTCATGTCCCTTATCAACCACCGTAGGAAACTTTTTGATCTCGGTATTTCACATCAATTAATAAGATGGCAATATGTGAAAAAAATATAATTATATAAGCTATATGAATTCCCAAATAAACAAAAAGTGGCACCGGGTGTTCAAGAAAGAGTAACATACTCCTCAATTAAAAATAAACTATAATTTATTAAATGAAATGCGCGACAAATGGGACCACGAGTCGCGTTATCAATTTAGTGTTAAAAGAGTAGTTTTTATTCTTAGCTAAAGGAGCTAAATCGCCAGTATTTGGGACCTAGTAAGTGACACAAATGGGTCGCAACGCATACAATAATGTAATATGAATGTATAAGAATATTGCGTCAGCGTTTGACATGGCTTGTGGAATATGTGTGGCCTCGTTCTTCGAGACACTTGTTACAAATGGCGCTGATTCGTATACCATTTGTTAAATGTTTATTTTGTCTTAAATATT